GTCCGTGGCCGGAGGGCCGTGGCCGTGGCCGTGGCCGGAGGGGCGCGGGATACAGCAGCGGGCGCGGCGCCGCAGCGTCAGCCGGCAGCACACGATCCCAACCGCGCGCGTCACGGCAAAACCATGGATACACTTGCACGCCGCACGCACCGCAGCGGAAGGCCCGCAGCTGCATCGCCGTGGTTTCATGTAGGTCCACGACTTCGATTTGCTGTACCGGCTGTGGCCGCAGCTCCGCCGCACAGGCAGGGCAAACGTCCAAGTTAGACGCCCACGGGGCATCCGCTTCCATGGGAGCACAGCGCGCGAAGCCGCAAACATAGGAGCCAAAAGCGGCTAGAAGGATGCATTCGACCCCGCGCCAGCTCGAGGCTGCTGCCTGCAGAGCTCCAGCCCCACGCGCATAAGTGCGTCGGGCAGGCGCCGTCGGGCAGGCGCCGTCGCACAGCTCCATGCAGGCCACAGCGCACCCTGAGCGTCGAGGGACCCACGCTGGTGGAGCGCAACGAGCGAGTCCGAAACCACCGCAGTCCGAGCGAGCGGCGCCACGAAAAGGGAGGGAGGGAGGGAGGGAAAGCGGCAGAGCAACACCACCGGGAGGGGCGCGCAAAACGTCGACGATTCGTGCGCCCCTCCAAATTGGCATGCCCCGAGGACTGGAGGGTCCCAGGACTCGCTGACGCCCTCTGGAGGAATCTGGGTTGGCGGGGGACACCACCATGAGGGGCGTGCAGAACGTCGACGATTCGCGCGCCCCTCCAAACAGGAAATGGCCCGAGGATTGGGGGGTCCTATAGGCCCATGCCCAGCGCTATCCATAGGCCTATGCTAGGCCTATGCCTAGTCTATCCATAGGTCTATCCTAGGCCTATGCCTAGCGCTATCCATGGCCTATCCTAGGCCGAAATCTAGCGCTGCCTACCTGGACCGCCGAAGTTGACCTTTTATATGGCCCACTTTCAAGAAAGCATTCACTGCCTGCTACAAGCCAAGGTCTCTCTTTAGAGGACCATTCTCAAAAGAGAGCTCTTTCATGGGGTGGTGCCATCATTATTGACCCAGCCATAAATGACCGTTCGGCAACCCGTTCATGTCCGCTGATGCCTTTTTTGCAAGGTGTCTGGCAAGAATGAACATGTCAGGAGTCCGAGCCCGCAGGAGTGGGAGCTTGCAGCAAGAATACCAACAATGGACTGGATAACAATTGAAACCCTATATACAGCATGATGAAACTGTCACAACATCTATATACCTCACCGGCTAGCCGTCAAGCTATACAGGCAACGCATCATTAAACATGCCAATATTTACAGAATATATCAAAGCGCCACCCCACCAACAAGCCATCAGGCTATAGACCATGTAGCTTGACACCATCAGTTTCCCGGGCTGTCCACATGTGCCCAATGCCGTGGGTTGGCTTTGGGCGCTGACTGCACTCCTTTGGGAAGGCCGGCCAAGGTACTGACACAGCGGCACATTGATAAACAGCATGCACTATATATAGATTTATGGCTGGGAAGCTGAGAAACTGTGTATATTGAAGGTGCATAGAAAGCACGCTAGAAAGCACCTCATGGTATCTCATGTTATATATTTATTTGTGTCTAGGGGTTTTGCTGGGCATGCTTTGTCAACTCTGCCCCGCTGTGCCCCCGCTCACCAAAGCTCCAGCTGCTGTTACCCAGTGGTCTCCTGGATAGCCATGGTGGGCAGTGCGGGGAGGAGAGAGTCAAGGGCAAAAACCACGGGATGTCGGATTGGGATGATGGGTCAAAAAAAGAAGATGTGTTTAAACCCCCCTTACTAGTAGCAACACGTGCCACGCGACTAGGAACAACAAGTGCCTTACGAGGAGTAACAAGAACGCTACGTTGGAGCCTCCTGGCATTTTCGGATGAATGTGTACCCTTTGGAGGGTTCACGGCGGCCACGACAGGTTTTCCACTTCGAAGGTGCAATCACTGGAGCCTCAACAAGGATTTGTCCAGGAATGTTAGGTCAGCTTTGGGCCGGAATAAAACTGCCCTCCACTTCGGTGTTCGATTTCTTCTCGCCCCTCTTCCAGGTCGGACTCGAGCCTTGCAACCAAGACCCAGGAGACAAGTGGGGCCTGCAGAACCCTGGCCGGGGGTTTTGCTGGGTTTTTTCCTGCTTCCGGGCACCTGAACCTGGCCCATCTTTTGAGCTACAGCTACACACGCTGGACCCTGCAGCCAGGTGTCAGGATCATCGCCAGGCAAAGCAGCCAGCCGACATGCATTCCTTTCCTCAGGAGCTTGGCACCCGCTCGACACGCACCGCGCCCACGAGAAACTTTCACGTTGTTCGCTCGACACGCCCCTGCCGTCCGGACGCCGTCTCTCGCTCAGTGAATGGAGACCCAGACATGACCTCAAAAGACCCTAGACATGTGTGGGCGGTGGTCCAAATAGAGGTCGAGCTCAGGTTCCAGGCAGTTCATGGAGACCTTTTGGGCGATTCTCGAATCCAATCCTTCCATGCATGCCACATGCAACAAGGTCATGGTCGGAGGTTGATGGTCCATGGCAGAACGAAGTCGGACGAAGAAAAAGGGCTTTGTAGACTGTAGGATCCACTGGGACCAGCACGGTGCTTTTCGCCACGCCATGTCTGTTCTGGGACCGTTGGCTGACAGCCACGCCCATGCACCCGAGCCATTGCGCCCCATCCATCCCCGACAAGTCGCCGAATCGCCATATAGCCAATGAGCACCTAAACCAGATGGGCGAGGTGCATGTTCCGTTTTAGCCTCTTGAAACCACGTGTTCTTCCCTCTCAAAACCCAGGGGTTTTGGAAAATATGGTTTAGAAATCCAAATCCCCATCGGACATGTGACGATTTAAACGTCAAGGCTGCGGGCAATCGCCTTCCACCGCTGGCGACGAAATCATCATGAAAGCGGAGTGAGTTCACCACCGCTTTGGTGGGATTTCATGATCATCCCAACTAAATGAGGGCCATGCCACGTAGACTGTCCAATCTCTCTGACAGCAAGCTTCGGCCTGACCAGTGTATGTGGCCTCGCACAAAACTCCCTATGATTGAACCAAATCTTCTCTCATCTGCTGTCCTTCTGCAAAAGGACTAGGGTGGAACCACTATAGAAGACTTTGAGGGCTAGAGCGTAGGAAGAAGAAGTATCTATGGACCAAAGAAAAAAGTGCACCCAAAGAACCCCTGGGGGTTCGGCTTGGGAAATTGACCCTTCTACCCAGCCAGGGCGAGATCTTGGGTGTATTTGTCGTGTTAAACATGTTTGAAGTTAAAACACAACACCGAACGCGGTCAAAGAAGGTGATGCCCTGTGACACATATGTGGCACAGGTCCTAATTCCTCACCACGCTCATCGTCCAAGCGTCCAGGTGGTACTCAGCGTGAGGCCCTTGCGCAAGGCCGTCACGGCCCGTTCCGCGTCCTCATTCGGTCGGCGCCGAAGCGGCCGCCGTGAAAGCGAAGAGCTGACCGGAGGGATGAGCCATCTACGTACTGGAGGTGTGAGGACACCCTCCAAAAGATGCCTTGCATGTAGGAGAAGAAGAGAATGAGACATGCATTGGTGGGAAGATCGTTTTAGAAAACATATGGGGAGCGCCAGCAAAGGTTGGTGAATTACACCCTCGTTCTGCATCAAAGAAGACACTTTTCGAAGCACCAAACAAAAGAAGCAGTCCACTGCCATGAAAAGCCACAGGAAGCACAAGCAGGGTATGTGGCTAAAACAAACAAAGAGCTTGACTCCACTTCAGAATCATATGTCTTACCTGGGGCCATGTGAATATGGGTCGGAGTTTGCCGGGTTCTTTGCCAAAGTTACTCCAACTGCACAGAGTCACCGCCGATTCATATCGCCCCCCCCCGAATTCGGCTGGGTCCAACAAACCGCATCGCCCCGGTTCGACTAGCAGGTCGAGTGAACATGTTCCACCGAAATGCAACGCCGCTGCCAAACATGAAAAGAGAACAGGCTAGGTGGGCCGGATGGGCCGCTGAACCAGGTAGAGGATTGGTACACTGGGGCTAGAGGAGTTATAGACATGCCGAAAAGAACACCTGCCCGGGATGCACCGGCCCAGCCTCCACCAAAAAAGAAGCAATCGTTCGTCTGGATGCATGTCTACGAAAACTAATAGTTCAGAGACATGTAAGAGCTTCTCAGACCGGTGTCGCTCTGTTGGCATGAATGGACCAACACTGAGGACATACCAGCGATTTCCGCTGCCCGTTCCAAGCCCTTTCAACTTCTGCGTCCCCCACGCACCGCCCAGCGACCGATGCGCTCTGCGCCCGCCACGGCCGCCACGACGCCGGCCGCGGCGCGGCGGGGCCGCGCGGGGCGCTTCCGGCCTGAGCCAAGACGCGCCCGCCCGACGCAGCGGGGGGGTCGACAGCGCACGTTCGAAAAAAAACAGGACGACCAGCGTGGATATCGAAGCGCCGAACTGATCCGTCGAGGCACCACAGCTGGCGACCATCCGTATGCAAGACTCGCAGCCAAAAGCGCTGGCCCAATGTCGATCGGCACAGGACCTCGGATCGAAAGCCGGGGTCAGGAGGTCTGGAAGTTCAGGTGACGACCACAAGACTCTCACGAGAAAGGGGGTCAGCAAACATCGCGTATACGAAGTCAGTGCTGCATCAAAAGAGACCGTCCGCGAAGTCCGGCGAAGGTTTCTGGGATTTCGTGGCAGGCAATCTTCCGGGAGGTCTATTTCCCGAACTCTCCACGAATAGCCTTGGGTTCTGCCCGCCTTCCACAAGGTTAGTAGAAAAGGTTTTTGCAAAACCGTGGCTTCCGTTTGCCGCCGAAAAAAAATCGACCGTGGAGAATCTCCCGCAGCACCCAGGGAACCCGGTGGAAAGCTGGACGAAAATGTCGGACAGAACGAGCGCGACCGACGTCGCAGTCGCGACACGACCCCGTTCGCAGCACGCCAAAGAGAGTGCTCCGACAGGACGCGCTCCACATCCAAATATATCGCCACGTCCGTGCCTGGACAGAAGACCGGCGGAAGGAAATGCAGTCATCGACTCGGACGTCGATCCTCAACAAGCACGAAGGTGTGAGAATCAGTCCGTGTATATATGCGATGCTGAGTCCAAACGTCTCTCCGCCCCAAAACCCGACGACGCCGGGCGGCCTCGACGCGGGCCCGAGTCGACCGAGCACCAGTGGGAGTGGATGCGGTCCATTGGCCGGACCCCCTCCGCCCGGATGCGAGGCCAGGAGCGAGCAGAGGTGTAGTGCACGCCTGACAGGGAAGCGCGCGTGTGACCCAAAAGAACCGGCCCTCCAAGAGAGGCCGAGCTCCCCAGCTAACCCGTGCGTCGACCGAGTGCAGACATGGGGCACAGCTGCAGCTGCGACGCCAGGGCGATCCGCTGCAAATAGAACTCGTCTTGCAAGACCTGAGAGCGGTGGGTGGAGAGAGAGAGAGAGAGAGAGAGAGAGAGAGAGAGGGGAGAGAGAGAGAGGGATGGAGGGAGGGAGCGAGCGACAGATCGGCGCGCAGACCACGAAAGAGATATCGCCGGTCAAAGTTCGACGAACGAAAAGGACTGCCGAGGCACCCCCGCCAAACAGCGCATGTGCCCTTGGCAGGCCCGGATGCGAGTGCCGCATATGTGGAATCTGCCTTTGTTGTCCTCCTGCGCCAACCGGGTGAGCCCAGACCTGAGCCCGCCGCCGTGCGGTGCAGGGGAAAGCGCACATCGAGGCCACAGTCTGGAGGGAAGTGGCTGGAACACGACTAAACATACCTAGATCCACCGAGTGACCGAAGAAAAAATGCCGCTGTCCAATGTTGGCAAACATGTAGCCACCCGACGCGAAAATCATCGTCCAGCTCCGGAAGGAACAAAAAAGCGAGCGGAAAATTTGACTGCTCCCTGGGTGACAAATGTCGCCCACAAGATTACGGGAATGCCCAGGCACAGCGTCAGGCCGGAAAGGGCTCCGTGTCGGAGCAGCGCACCGATGTCCACCGTGGCATCCGCCGCCAGGTCCAGGCCACGGCCGGTTCGAAGCACACGCCTTGCGAGACCCGGAATGAAGAGAAAAGGCCAACACGTGGAAAGACTCGGCCACACACCCCGGTCGCAGTGTTGCACGCGGAGTCTCGATCGACCGCTGCGACGAAGGGAGTGCAGCAAAAAGACCTGCTACGACGTTCGGCGAAGGTTTCGACGAATTTCGTTGCAGTCAGTTCTCCCACTGGCCCACCATTCCACGAAGTGTCCGTGAATAGCCTTGGGTTGTACGAACGTCCCACGCCTTCCACGATCTTAGTGGAAGAGGTTTTCGCAAAACCCTTTCTGTGCGACGGCCATGCACCGGGCACCTCCCCCGAGACCGCACAACCGAGGCACGTCAAAGTGAAAGCGCGCCGTCGGTAATCTGCATCCTGCGGTGGAAGGAAACGCACCGTCTCGGCGCTAGCCGGGACGAGTTGGACCGGGCAATATGAGCGTGACATACTCCAGAACTCGAGCATTTTTGTGTTACCCCCCAAGCTCAGTACGCCACGTACCAACTTCATTTACCGGAAACAAAGTGTAAGGAGCTGGATCTGCAGATTCTTCGCAGAGTGTATGTTGTTGATTGAATGCTCAAATGTCTTCGCGATCGTCTGAAAGATTCTGTGCCTTTCTTGCAATGCATTTCCTGCGAGACAAGACGGACATCACCCGACACGCACACTGCAAAAAACCACACGTTGTAAGAAACACACCTCTGTACCCCACATGTTTCACCGAAGTAAGGACCGCAGTGTCAGTCAGCGTAGTCGTCCCTCAGACGACCTCCCCATTCCGCCGCCGCCTCCGAGCCGAGCGCGATGCAAGGCTCCGGCTCCTGCAGCGCAACGAAAGGAAGAAGCGACGATGGGTGGCGAACCGGACCGGGCGAAGAGAAGAACCAAAACCAGCAAGGAAAACCCAAAAGTGCGGGCAAGATGATAGTCTGGGCCAAGCCAAGGTCTAGGCTAAGTTCTTGGAGGTACCGACAGGAGATCCGCTCCATCACTCGACCGGCGCCGGCGCCGCCGCCTCCGGCGAAGCCGCGGAAGCACACGGCGCAGACGACGGTCGCGGCGGGGAGGGAGCGTGACATAGCGCCTGCTGCGCCTGCGCCACATCGGAAACTCACGTCTCTGACGGCAGTCACGCGCAATCATGGTGGTGTGGTTGTGTTGTGTTGGACCACATAAGATCATTGCTGTTTTCTTCTCTACAGCAAAACTCCGTGCAACACGACACCAAAACATAAATAGAGCACCCGAGTGTCTCGTTCGAATGGTATGGCAGCATATATATATATATAGATATATATTTATATCTATAGTATAGATATATATATATATACATTAGATAGACATGCATGGCGGAGGAAGTGGAGGATCTACCGACGGCCACGAACCCACG